TCTGCCGTCCTCACGGGCACTTTCATCTGCCTCTCACGGCGAGTTTCTCTTTGAAACACCTATCTTCTTTCGCGACTATCGGCAAGGATTCCTAGACTGGATTGAGGCGACGACAGCAGCGCACAGATGCAGAATACCACTTGAAGCCTCTCTCGGTAATGACCCCTGGGTTTGTCACCACAATCGATTCCGACGTCGACAGTGCCTGACTCGACCGGACCCGAATCAGGCGCATCACTTTCCCTCGAAATCTCGTCGGACCCTTCTACCATTCCAGCAGATAAATCAGTCCCCGAACTGAATGTTGCGCCCCCTTCGGATGTACTGCTTCCGGAACCAGTTCTTGGCCCTGCACCTGTAGAGTGGAAACTGCCCTCAGCACGCCGGACCAACCGTGTTTGCCGGAAAATGCAGCGCATACAGGTCAACCCCCCCCCCATAAGCTGTACTGACCCACTTAGAGGGGAGATTTTGGGAATGCACAGAAAGTAGTCGGAGTGCAGTTTTCACACCGCGGCAATAAAAGCGCGCCTAAGCTATCGATATTTCGTCATAACTAATTGGCCTAGTGTCGCCAAGGCTCCTTCATCAAGCTGACTGAATAAATACATCGCAGCCTTTTGTGAAAGTGACTTGAAGTGACTTGCTTGACTAATACTGTGTCAATAAACTTATCCTCTTGGCCGATTGACTCCTCTTATTCTCTCGTGCGGGCATTCGGGACAACAGCCAGGCTAACTCAGAGTTCGTGCTAATTGCAAGTACCAGGTGCGGTTCGTAACAGTGCGCATCGCGCACAACAGGGTTATAAAAAACAGGGAACAGTAGAGGTCACGCGAGCATCGCCGATAAGCCGGAGATGGGACCATGCGGACTGCAGAGTCCACTGACAAGCTAGTGAAAACAGAATAACCCACCATGTCCATCGACAGAAACCGCGAAGACCATTATCAAGAAAATACTTTTGGATGAAGAAAACTCCACTTGCCCATTTGAGCTACATCTTGCGAGCGTATGCTGGTCTGCGCTACTTTTCTCGACGCAAATATTGGCCCTGCCCTTAGAAAATCAGTAAATACACTCACAGTAGGTGTACTAACTCATGAAATCCAAGGATGTTTACAAGTAACTCCCTGTTACTCAAACGTAACCGAAGCTGCGGCCCCAAAAGTCTTACAATAATAAACTAATGGTCGTTCTTCACAATAGGGCATGTTGTGATTTCTAAAGGAATACACATTTATTAGAAATACAAGCTTTTTTTAGCAAAGTGGAAAATTCCGAAAAAGTGGAAATCGGGTGAACTAGGTTAAATTCAGTTCTACTTGTAGAGGATGCCTGTTTATACAAAACCACCGAGTGAATATAG